ATAGTTAAATTATTCAGGAAACTAATAAGCATGCTGCAGCCAGATATGATCCACTGAAATTAGTCATAGATTTCATTCAGTATACAATTTAGTCTTCGAGATAATCAGATTTGCTATGAATTTCTTTAATTACTGTAAATTTCAGAAAAGCCTACGTCTCAAGGGAACAAACTCTTATAGCAGCGCTATTACCAGACATCTCTCGACACGGGTCATGAGGTGGAAATCGAGAAATCCTTCAAAACTATCAATAGACAAAGGAGCTCCATTCTCCTCAAGTTTGCCGAAGCAATTTCTATCAAACGCTTGAAACCAGATCTATGTGTTCAGAAAGAATCAGTTATTAGTCTTTCCTTGCCTTGGCAACTGGGTCTTTTTTCTCTCATCTGTTTGCGTAATTTTTGTCTTTAACCTCACCCTCTTTTATAATCTGTAATTTTGTTTGTCTCTTGTTTCTATGATTTGAGTTCAACTCAGTACATTGTTTACCTAACTTATTAGTCACTATGCATCCAACGCACATCCCATCTTTATTATGTAACTCCCCTACCATTATATGCATACATTTATTTACTATTATTTTTTTTTAACTTGAACTGCCTGTGTAAAAACTATATAAGCGCAATTTTCTGAGCACTGTTTACTAATTGTGAAACTTTCTGTCAACTGACAACATGTAAAATTTGCAAGTATGTTAAAACGTTTCTGTACTTAAACCTGAAAATTTATTCAGGCTGTAAGCAGCTGACGAGAAGCCAACGAAATAAATGATGGTACCATGTTATTCTGCACAAATCACTGTTGTTCTCGCTTTATTCAAATTTCAGTAATCTTGATGGATATAAAACTAACAACCGTTGCTTATCAAATACGCGGGGGCATCATCCTATAAACATATTAAGCTCAAGTAATACATAAAAACTGCATTATATTGAGTTTCCAAGACTATAAATTCTTATAAAAGACATTCATATTGACGTCTGTTAATTCATTGTTTTTTCATCTCTTCCGAACTAGAAGCCTAACGATAAATGGACAGTTGAATAAAATTACTGCACAGTTTAACTGTTATTATGTCATCCTTCAGATAATCTGTTAGAGGTGAGAAAAGAAAACCATCCTTCTAAGAAATTAATTTTTACAGTCATTGTATAGTTTTATATACAGTTACCAGAACAGTCTTGTAATAAGCACATAGTACAATCCACATATGACGCTTATATATGCTAATAATTGACAACTGCTCAAGAACAAAAGATTCCTTAAGCCGTTATTAGTCCGAGGAATATATATATGGAGAAGATGACATTCTATTGACCAACATGAAATAGAAAATCAATCTGGACCTGTAACGGGGTTGTGGACAACTTGTATAGTTATTTTCGAAACTTTTGATGACATTAGATGGTTGGAGGTAATCGGAAGGAAGCCTTCGACTTTGGTTTCGTGCTATTCGGCGCTGATCAGTCAGCAAGGCGTATCTGCAGTCGCTAAAAAACGTATGTCCCTTCTGAGATCTGAATTCGCGTCACCCACTGATTGTCAGAGACGTTACCACTGAGCTATTTTGGCTCACGACTGAACTCCTGTAGGACTGTATTGTTCACTAGTCTGCATAGAAGAAAGGATTAGACACATTACACTAGTTACTGACTAGTGTCCAATCAAAAACATCCAATACACTCCTACAAGAAGTCAATCGTAAGCCTGAACAGCTCAGTGATAACGTCTCTGACTGCAACACTTGGTGACGCGGGTTCGAATCTCAGAAGGGACATAAGTTCTTTATAGACTGCAGATACACCTTACTGACTGACTAGTGCCGACTAGCATGAATCCCAGGTGAAGTAGGGCTTCCTTCCAATTACCTGCAATCACCTAATGTCATCAAATCAGTGTGTACTGTGATGGTGAGCTACTTAGAAAGGTGGCCACATTGCAAACTTGACTGAGAGAATTCATTCTGAACCAAAGAAAGGACTAGACACATCAAACCAGTCACTAGTGTCCAATTAAAGTACTTTGAAACTTTTTTATGATAAAGGCCGTCCAGGTGTATCAAAAATTAGCCTTAGTTTAACTGATCCATCAAAATAGGTCTAATATTTAACTGTTGTATTGGCATCTCCTTATATTCCGTTTTCAAAGAGATGACATGTCAAAAAGAAAAGACATAAGAAATTCTTAATGCAAAGAGATATACTCATCAAACAGGCCTGAATTAGATATGTACTTTATCTGTGTTAAATTCAATGGAGTTCATAGGTTCACACTTACTTGTAAATACAGTTTCATTACGAAAGTTGGGAAAATAGTATCTAGTTGATTTTTCTAAGCTCTCACTAAGGTTCTCACCCTGAAGATCATTAAAGAAGATGAAAGACCAAATAGGTACTGTTTAACCATTAAGGAAGACAAACAGATAGAAGCCTTATGTTCTATTATGACTTACTGAAACCTTAAATTTCAGATATCTCAAACCTGATCTATGTACAAAGAAAAAGAAGTTTGAATGTTTCTTTATCGAGGTTTGTGAGCATTATTTTGGTTAAGTTATTGCCTCATTCTGATTCATATTGAAAATCAAAAAACGTGATTCAGCGAAGAGACTATCTTCAACAAATTTATTATTGGCCTGTACAATCCTATGTATATATAGTTTTTTTTTAAGAAATTATATACGGTGAAAGAATTGAACCATAGGTGTGAATGCATAAAATAATAATAGTAGTATGAAATACGATTAAAATGTTTGTGATTATAATCGTAGTTAAATGTCTAGTGGCAAAACAATTAATGTCTTATACAGGATAATTCATAGGATGTATAGAACAAGGAAGGGGTATGCTGTTATAGGGTTATTAGGCAAAAAGAATGAAAATAAAAAAGTTACGTAACACTGATTGAAATTTGATAACATAGAATTTGACGTTGCAAAACAAAATTGATTTAGAATGATAAGTGAAACAATACCAGGACTATTCGAAGTGAGAATAGTCATGGTAACAATCGATGTAATAAAGGAAGAGTATACAAACTGAACAAACAAAACAAAAAATAGGTAGAGGCAAAATATGATTAGGGATCATTATACTTTTGTATAGAGGGACTGAGACCATGAAAGTTGTACACAGAGATCTGGCTTTTCTGTTTTGATGACCAACCCTTTTCTGTTCTTATACCCTTATACTACCTCAATATAATTATTCCTTTGTGTTCCTAGTGGAACATAGGGAATCAACAGTATATCCCTATTTTCCCCTGTTCTCTGAATTCCCATTTAGCTAGCCTGACGATTGCCCATAGTGTCTGATCTCTTCCTTGAACCATTTCCTTCATGTCACCCAAGGATCAAGCCCAACTAGTTTTCCATTCGGGTTCAACTTGAGCGGTAGTCTGGTGTGAGATGTCACCCAACGGTCAATCAATCTCCATTTTCTTCGGCATACTTGTTGGGCTGTGTTCTTGCCCACCTCCATATAATATCAATAAACTGAAAAACTTCCAACACATTAAAAAAAACAATTAGTCATTAGAGAATATAACAAGAATTGCAAACACAGTAATATCAATAGTAATAATTGTAATAATAATAATAGCGTTGAAGTAAGTTAAGATAATCCTACTGATAAAGGATAGTTTTAAATGAATCAATAATAATAATAATAATAATGAGGTAGAATAATAAGTAAAACGTATTACCATGATAGATTCAGAGTCACAATCATCTCCTTTTGTACACAGAGACCTGGTTTATAAACTCGAATTGCACAAGCCTCTGCAATACTCTAAATAAATTAGCCCCTGCAAAACAATCCAAACAGTTCCGAAGAAACTTGTCTATATCAATTTGCCGTTCAAAGGAGATGATGTACAGGAAGCAGTCAAACGAAGACTCGATAAAGCCATCAAGAGGACTTATTAAACTGCAAAACTTTTTATCCTTAACGCCACTAAGCGAGTGCTTCAACAATCTGGGAAAGACCAGTCGCCAATCCTGGACACTTCAAACTGCGTATATCAATTTGAGTGTGTTTGTGGAAGCAAATACATAGGTCCTACAGAAAGGCGATCGTCTACTCGTATGATGGAGCATTCGCCAAGATGGTTGAAAACAGCTAAGTGCAAAGTGCCCAAAAACCTCAATAACAAAACATCTTGTGGATTACGGACATGATATCGACGTGGTCAAGTCATTCACTATTGTCAGCAGACAAAGAAACAAGAAGATGCATGCAATTGCAGAGGCTTGTGCAATTCGAGTTTATAAACCAGGTCTCTGTGTACAAAAGGAGATGGTCTTCACTCTGAATCTACCATGGTAATACGTTTTACTTATTATTCTACCTCATTATTATTATTATTCTTGATTCATTTAAAACTATCCTTTATCAGTAGGATTATCTTAACTCACTTCAACATTTTAAAAAACTTTCTCTATTTGCGAATTCTAAATTTTAATCTCTATGACGTCTACCAAGAAACTGTGAAATGCAATGATATAAATCTATTCTATATATATACATATATATTGTTTTTAGATTTTTAAATTTACAGCTTGATTCCACACTGTATTTTTGGTACAAGTATGGAATTTTCAGCATGGATATCGGTAGCCCAAATTTCGCAGGCCGACCATAGATATCAGATGTGCGCCGGCGTGGGCTCGAACCCCGGACCATGTGCATTGTCGGCGAGAGTCCTAACCACTGTGCCACCGACGCATATATATATATATATATATATATATATATATATAATCTTATTAGCAGGAGGCTTTACCTATCACAATATGATTCACTGTGTACTATGCTGTCATGTTCAGCAAAAGTCATTTATCTGCTTGTCTTATTTCTTCACTTGTCTTATTTGCCTTCTGGATAACATATTTAATATTTCAAACGTTTAATCAATACACAATACTTTACATTTAGGACATGAATATGCATAAGATAATTTACATTCGGAAAGAATACATCAGTTGAATAAAAGCAATTATTATGTTTAACTCACCGATAATTTATGGACGAGCTGGTGAACCAGGATATTATGATAAAATTAATCTTAGACAAAAATTTCAAGATTCAAGTGATGAAAAGATTTTAAAAAATCATACAGATATAAGATTTCAAAAGTATAAATTAGCTAGAGAAGAACAAGTGAATAAAAGACAATCTATGCTTGCTGATCTACTTGAATGTGAAATGTATTTAATTGAAAAAGAATGTAGTGATAAATTGCTTAATGAAAGACTTTCTACATATCAAAAACGTGCAATACAAGCTGAAGAATTAAAAAAATTAGTTAAGATTAAAGAAAGCAAGTTAGCTGAAGAAAAATTAAATCAACATTTCTTACAGTCATCAGATGAATCACGTCAACATTTCATGAAATATCATCAATTAGAAATAGTTAAAGATAGAAATGAAATGGAGAAATTAAAACAGCTTGATGCACTAAAAGAACAATCATTACAAAATCTATTGAATGCACAATCATCTCATTTAGAAGAGCAATTAATTAAAAGTGAAGAGGCAAGTAATCAACGAAATTCTCGTGCACGTCTTTTAGCCCAAGAAAATAAAGCCGAATCTAATCAAAAGATACTTCGAAAACAGAATGAAAAACTTGAAGAGATAAAAAATGACTTAGAAATTCTAGCCAATGTTGAAGCAAGTAAACAAAAAGAACAATCACCTGAAGAGAAGGCTATCCAAAAACAAGTGGAACGAAACACTAAAATGAAAGAAGTTCAAAGATACCATGAGAATAGAAGACAAGAAGATGCAGAAGAAAAACAGGCAGACGCTTATTGCCTTTCTCTACTACCTGAGAAATCTAAAGATGCAGAGAGAAAAAGACACAAGGAATTACGACAAGAACAAATAAACTATTTGAATTATGTGAATCAAATTAAAAAAGATGAAATCTGTGAAGATAAATACCATGATCAGATATGCTTGGATATAATGAATCAGAATAGACAAAAACTTCTTAAAGAAAAAGAAAAACGAGATGAACTAAAACAGAAACAAGTTAAAGAGATACTTGAAATGCAAAAATCTGCTATAGCAGAACGCATAAACAAGGAGAAAGCAGAATACTTGTCAAAAATTCAAGCGAGTAAAGAAATAGTGGAAAAGCAAAAGCAATACGAGGAGCTAATTCGTCAAGAAGAAGCTAAACAACGTGATAAAGCTATCAAATATTCAAATGAACTACTTGATCAAATAAAGACTACACAAATACAACGCAATGAAGAAGCAAATCAAATTTTAGAAGAGGAGAAAAAATTATTAAGGAAAGCTCAAGAGAATTATCAAGGACGGTTAAACAATCTGATAAAAAGCAGCTCATTCTATCAGAAATTACATCCATTAAGAAAAGCTATGGGTGATTCACTAATGAATTAGATTTATTTATTTACTTATTTATTTATTGCAATCAGGTAATTTCTTTAGGAAAAGCAAAATGAATCCACAAGATTAAAAAAAGGTCTCCGTGTTATTTTAAATGCATAAATATCCTTCATTAAGCGCCTGTCATATACATGGTTACATTCTTGAGTTCAGTTAGTTTAAACTTATCTATATGTCTATAATATCTAGTAAGGTTTCTAGAATGAAATAAAACTTAGAATTCAATCATTTCACCATATCATATCATTCCTGTCGAAGTTTAAATGTGTAATATGCAGTATATGTAGAGAAAATATATTCACTAATTGCACTATTGTGCAAACTTTTCCCTTGATAAGCTGTTCAGTCACCAGGTAACTTCATTCGCGCCAAAAAGGTTTGACTGTGATTTTTTAATTACATGACATATATATATATATATATATATATATATATATACTGTGAACTGTTGGTATTAGATGCTTGGAGTCTGTCTGTCTTCGACATAGAACTTTGCACATATGTGCGGCAGTTCACGTCACCATACTCCATGTAGCACACAAAGCAAGGGAAGAAGGTAGAAGAAATGCATAATAGAGACAGTAAACAGAGGTGTGAAACAAAGGAATAGTAGTAACGAAGAACAAAACAGTTTCATTGGAAATCATAAGTCACAAGGAGTGGATGCATCTGAGCCACTGAGAACGATTTTGAGCCATGACGCCAATGGTTTCCAACCATTGCTTTTACCGTCATTTCATGCCGGATCGGCCGTGGCCCGGATTAACAACGACCGCGCTTCCTGCTACCGTGTCACAGGGCAGGAGTGATAAATATGCTACTGAAACACACAAAACAAACAATTAGATGCTTGGAGGCGATTGGAAGGATCCTTCGACCTAGGATTCACGTTATTCGGCAATCATCAGTCAGCAAGGCGTATCTGCAGTCTGAGATTCGAACCCGCGTCACCAAGTGTTGCAGTCAGAGACGTTATAACTTAGCTATTAGAGCTCGCGACTGACCTCCTGTAGGACTGTAGTGGTCACTAGTCTGCATCGAAGAAAGGATTAGACACAATACACTATTTACTGGCTAGTGTCCAATCAAATATATATATTCAGATCAGAGCTTTAGTTAGTATCCTAAAGATGAATTTCCACGAAAATTTTTTAAAAAAGAACCAAAGGTTGAAAGAATGTCCAGACAAGAAGCTTAACACGATGGCTGAACAGACTGAAATGTGACTTAACTTAAGTATCCCCATAATTTATTCAACAAAAAGAAAAATTACATAACTTTTTTTCAGGTTGTAAAGACACAGATGTATTGTTAGTATATAATAGCCCACGAAGAAAAACTAAAACTATATCAGAAATCTTATTTTGGTGAAGTACACAGTGAAATAGCACGCAGTTGTTGTTTTCCTTGTTATTTAAATGCTGACAGAGCGTACATACAACACGGAATAATAACTGAATGATGTTTGTATATAATAATAATAATAATAATAATAAACAAATGTGCTTGTTTAGGGGGTGAGTTATAATGAGTGTAATAAGACGAATTTTGAATACTACGGATAAATAAACTAAGACGGATGCGCTAGATATAAGTTCAGCTAATGACACAAAAGTCACCTCTTTTGTAACTAATATCGAATTTTTTTTTATTCCTTCACGTTCCCAGTGGAACATAGAGCGTCTAGCTAGAGGCTTGAAGTTTCGATAGCAGTGGTGTTTATTTTTACGGGATGGGGTTGCTGGCTTCATGCCCAACCTTCCCTCTATACAAACCTTATTACTGGCTTAGCGAGGTAGATGAGTCCATCGGCTGGAGATCGAAACCCGAACCACATGCGTGGTTAGCGAGCATTCTACCGCTGTGCACATCAGATATTCTTTACTGTCATTATCTCGAATTTTTCGTCGAATAATTTTACCAAACCAAATGCTGTATTTATTGGAATGTCACCTATTACTATGGTCTCTTCGACGATGTTTTCACAAATGATTGCTGGTTGGTAATTGCTCTGTTAGTTCTGTACCTGTCTCCAAACATATGTTGGGTGATCTTAGTCACAATGGGAGTGGAAACACCAGTAAACAGTGAAACTTGAAGGATATAACACTACAAAAACTAAATTTAATAGCTTTAATTTTGTCCTATAGTGTAGTTCCATGTAATAGCTTAGGATCAAACAGTACTGGAGGATGTGAAGACTCGACTAGGTTCGCAAAGAGACAAAGAGTGAGTAGGATTTGTTGAAGGAATTGCAGACAAGAAATTCAGATTACAAACACACTGATAAAACACTAGTTAAACGAAAGCTATAAATCGGTATATCCCTCTATTCATACACAGCTTTAGCTATGAAATAAGAATTGTCTCTGAAACAAAATGTGTTGGAGAATTTTTGTTTTAAAGACACATTTATACTGACAATGCCTAAAGTTTGAACACTTTGTTGATCTTTAGATTAATAACCTTCATTTATTCTTTTTTCTCAGTGGCTCTTTGAACTGTGGTAAATTCAACTGATACACTTTTGGATGTGACTGGATTCTTCCTGATGTATTCACTACACATATTCTGTTATTTCGGTGCGTCGGTGGCGCAGCGGTTAGGATGCTCGCCAACCATGCTTATGGTCCGGGGTTCGATTCTCGGCCGGCGCACTCCTTTACCTCACTCAGCCAGAAGTAAAGCTGGTGAAGAGGAAAGGTTGGGCATGAGACTAGCAGCCCCATCCGGTAAATATTAAACACTGCTACAGAAACTTCAAGTCACTAGCTTGAAGCCCTATGTTCCACTGGGAACGTGAAGGAAAAAAAAATTCTGTTATTTCATATAAAAATGATAGCTTATCTAGGATTACTCATTTAAGTGATTTGTACGGCTAATTTATCGAGACAGAGAAACAGTCAGCACTTAGAAAATAACTCTAATATCAACTGAAATGCAATAGTAGATACCAATAAAAGAATATTTTGCAGCCCAGTAATTGCCACTTAAACCGTCAGCACTCAATACGGAAAAATCGATGAAATATAAGGCTAGCCTGTCTTATCTATGATCAAACAGAAAGGCTGTTAATTTCAATGATCAAAAACAAAAGTGTTTAAAAATGCATAAAAGAAACATTCAAATACTTTTAGCTAACTACAGTAATCGTGATAAAAAATGATTAAAACAAGGTGAAAAGTTTATTCAGATGCAGTACTGGGTGCAAACCGTTCCCATACACTCCTATTTCAGCACCAGAAGGTTTAATGTCAAGAAAACGCATTAAAGAACGAAGAATTACGATACAGGATCAGAGGTGAACGAAGCCAAGTGAACAAGTTTTCCTTTTTTCCACGGTAGACCTTAACTGCACAAATCTAACATCTTTCTGCAGCCAATTTTCACACGTGATAACTTCAGCACATACATTATCTAAGGAACACCAAAGAAAGAAATACTCAACAAGATCCTGATATGCGAATCACACTTTACGCAGTAATTCAAGGGTAGTAAAGTAGGCAACTACGAAACTATCCATTTTTTATTTCGTCACTCTTTTTACATAAACCGAACTGAAATCAGAAGTATCCAACTACTCAATAATAATGAACAAAGCACCAAAATACGGAACGTAAAGTATATACAGAGCACAGAATTAAGTCTTGTATTATATTCTCATTCCAAGAGTTCGGGTTTTCGCTAGACAGAAGTGGTGTCAATATAATAGCTTATTATCATTAATTTTGAAAGCAGCAAGGTTATCGCCCGAAACTGCAGTCCTGCCAATACTAAAGTAAAAAACTGGAATGGATTGCATAGTTAGTTGGAACTCAGCTAATGGAAACCGATTTCCCATCATCAAGACTATAAGTCACATTTATGACTGGTTATCAAAATACCGAGTCGCCTAGGTTGAAATATGCAGGATGGAGACAGAATGTGGGGCCCAGTGGCTGAAGACTAAGTGTTTAACCCAATGAACCATATTTCCGCTCTTTTTAAGCAGACTACTTATTCATGATTGCTGGAAGTGAAAAACTTAGTCGAAAACATTTCTGACGTCGTCGAACTCATAAAAAGTATAAGAATTCTGCAGTGAGACCTCATCCCTATGAAACTTAGCCAGCAGAAAAAGAAAACTGAGAATTGAAGTAACTTTAAATTCGACTGACAAAGACTAAGATCCCTATCGAAACAGGGTACTCACGAGCCATTCTCAATTATTTCCCAGAAGGTCTAGAACACTGAAGCTTTTCTACTTTGCATTGGAAAGATGAAGAGAACCTGACTGTCTTACGGAAAAATGAAAATCCACAGTATCACCGAGACTTTCTACCATCAAACCAGTTTTCTACCATAAAATCATTCTCACAAATTACAAAAAAAATCAATCTACCATATTTGAAACACAATACTGAAATCGACGCTATATTATTATTGCTCCCTTGGGTTCCTAGTGAAACATAGGGCTTCAACTGCACGTCTCCATTTGCTTCTGTCTTTTACTGTACTTTTCACCTGCATCCATGTTAGTCCATACTCTTTCAACTCCCCTTCACACTATCTCCTCCATGTCACCCTTGCACTGATGTCCCACTCGCCGCTTCCCTTTCGGCCTGGTTCCACTCGAGCAATGGCCTGACGCGCACGCGATGTCACCCAGCGGTCTCCTCAGCGAGTGACCGATTCATCTCCACTTTCTCCTGCATATTTGTTGGTTGGCGATTGGTTCTTGCTTTGTTTGTTCCCATAGTTCCTTGTTAGTGATTCTTTCCGGCCTGGCCATCTGATCTTCAGTATAGAGCCAGCGAAGACAGTTGTTGGTTGATAAAGGTCTGCAACAGGCTGTTGGAAATATTCTTTCTGACCCACCCGCCAAGTTTCTGATCCGTATAGAAGAACTGACTGACTTGACGTTGTTTGTATTGAAAATCCGACTGAATTTTGTTGTTGATGCTGGCTGAGTGACGAAGATTTCCAGATTGATTTCAGGTTGATGAATGTGTTTC